CTCTCTCTCTCTCTCTCTCTCCCTCCCTCCCTCCTCGGGTGTTCCTCATGTTCACTGAGGAGATCGTCCTGCACCGACATTGATTAAACTTCCCACAACCGAAGAGATCGATCTCGAATATTGATCAGATGGTCTCGTGATAATATAAATTACTTCTTGCTGAGCAGTGTTGAGCTGCTGCTCCGTGCACAAACAGGATGTGACAGAATAAAAAGTAACACACCGTCTTTGATAAAAACGTAGCTTTAATCTAAACTTTCACAAGACGCCAAAAACTGAGAGATGAACAATAACAGACATGTAGGTGTGAATGAGACTCATTCATAAAATACAGAACGGAGTGTCGCTGCTACCAGGAGCTGAAGTCTCCGAGACTCGTCTTGCCTTTGGACTTCTTGGGTGCAGCCGCTCCGCTGGTGGACGGTCCGCTGTCACATTCAGCTGCCGGACGCTTTCTGAAACAGCAAGAACCAGAAGATCAACACTGAGGAAGATGAATCTTCGTATGCCACCACCTCCTCACTGCTCACACACACACACACACACACACGTTCATTCACGTTTCTACACTAAACCACAACTGGAAGCGTTTATCCTGACGTGCTCTGAACAGGATGAGACGGCAGCAACAAGAGGACAAGAGGTTTTCATTCTGAAGAAAAAACGTCTTCCAACACAAACTCTTTCTACCATGAACCATCATAGAAGCCCCGTGCGGCTGAATTCAATAAAGAAACCTCTCTTCACATGAACAAACATGAACAAACATGAAACATGAACCATCCTACAAAAACCCCAAATACAATAAAACGTACCTGAATTATCCTCAAGAGGAAAGAAGGTAATCTTCTCTATAACTGATGATTCAGAACTTCATGCCTCCGCTCATCCTGTGTAACTATAATGTTCAATCATCCATTTGTTTCATCCAGCCACTAACGGAGGAAACATCTAGTGCAGGTGTGAGTGTGTGTGTGTGTGTGTGTGTGTGTGTGTGTGTGTGTGTGTGTGTGTGTTCTTACGCTGTGGAAGGGTTGATGTATTTCCCCACACCCTCCTTGAAGGTCTTTGGCGCCTCCTCCTCCTTGGTTTTCTTCAGGGAGACCTGCTGCTTCTCCTCCTCCTGCCTCTGCAGCTCCTTCTCTCGCTCTGCTGCGATCTGAGGATCAGGATGAACTGATTAGTCACCCAACAAATCATGACGCAGCTATTTTAAACGATTAACAGTAACACTACAGACAAAGTTTCCATAAAGTTTTTCCCGTCCACTCAGACAGTCAGACCTCCAGTGGCATTAATAGTTTGTCTGTGACTCTTCAGTCTGAATCTGTCCAGATGTGGATAAAACTATTCCATCATTGATTCAGAACTGTTCACGGATGTGAAGAGTCAGACACGTACCTCGGCGTCGGCCTCTTCGTACGGGTCCACGAACACTGTCGCACTGATGAGCTTGATCTCCGACTGGAACACAGAAGCAGAATCATGTAGAAGCTGGAGAGCGAACGACTGTGACTGAGTCTTGAGCTCTCAGCTCCTGTTAACGTTCCCAATCCATCTCTGACTCTCACCTTTGGTTTGTCGGTTTTGGGATCACTCTCCACATTCTCCATCGCTGTGAGGGTCTCAAACCCCCCAACAACCCTGCAAAGGCACAACAGACATCCTTCATGTTCTACCATTTTCATCGAGAGACGGAGAAGAAGGAGAAGAAGAAGAGAGGCCCGGGTTCCCAGCTCAAGTTAAACCAAACCAATATTTTACTGAATCCAAATCCAGAATCAAATCTGAATCCTCTCAAATCCTCCACAGAATCTCACTGAGTAGATTTCACTGTAAATAACTAGAAGAGAAAGATCAAGAGAAGAAATATGAGAAGACAGAAATACAGCGGACTTTAATGACGGTCAATCAAGACTCTTCAAGATTCTTTCATTTAGCCTCATTGAATTTCACAACCTGAAAAACACGTGATAAATGTTAATTGATTAATTACTAAACCCACAAACTTCTTGGTCCATGTAATCGAGTCCCTCGTTCACAACTATGAGTCTAATGAGCTCAGACTCTCATCAGCTGATCGTTACCACAGTTCACCTGCAGTCGTAGGGTTGATGTAACACGGTGATGTAACACGGTGATGTAACAGTGATATAACACGGTGATGTATGTTTTTGAGGCGAGTCAGCGGCGGCGAGGAGCTACAACCAACAAGCTTAAGTTTCAGTGGAGCCGTTACACAGTTACCTTTAATTAGCTGCAGCTGATTGAATCTACTGACGCACATTTTAACCCGAGAACGGAAACGTCCGTGTCGACTTTAAAGAAGAAGCTGCGAACGTTACCTTTTTAACTTTGCCTTAATTAATGGATCGACAGAACAGACCCGCCGAGGGAACGGCCACCGAAACAAATGCAGCTTTTTATTTTTCCCAATTCGAAATTACATAACCTTTATGAAGATGTGACATCACTCAGGCTGGTGAAGTGCCCTTTAGCCAGACACTAAATCCATCTCCATTACAGGGCCGCCGAACTGCAGTCGACCCTGCTGCCGACCTTCCACCGGAGGAGGGAGGGAGAACTTAAACCCGACTTCCTGTTCAGACGGACAATGGTTCTGTGTTTAAAAGTGTGCAGGAGCCTGAGATAACGTGTGTAAAGGTGAGAAGAGGAAACACAAGCCAGGACGTTCAGACGGAAAGTTTCTAAGCTGCTCAAACACCCAACTGCAGATTGTAGACGTGTGTGACAGGATCTCATAACTCAGGGAATTGAACATGGCGGCAATAATTCATGATGGAACCTCGTTGACCAAAGGTACTATAGTTGGATTTGGGTCACAGAACCTCCAGATGGAAGAACGCTCAAAAGTGCAGAACCCATTTTTAACATCTGTGCAAAATAAAACCAGGCACTGCATTTGTGTCCCAGTTCGAAAAAGTAACCGAGCCAAGATGGGAAACAGATCATTATCAAGTCTGAGCAAAGAAATCCAAGTTTAATGATACTAGTCCCTAAAGTCGACAGGTGTCCACAGGATATTAACTTGTTCCCACAGGATAAATATCTGAACTTCTTGCCACCAGATAACGACTGTGTGGGAACAAATTAGTTTATGTGCAGCAAATGATTCAAGTTAATATCTTGTGCCCACAAGATAAAAATCAGCTCCTGTCGGGACGTTACACTGGATGGATGCTGCCACTGATTCAAACACCATCACTGCTGAGTGGTGGCCACAGCAGAGTCCCCCGCTGTCTGAAAACCCCTGGAGACCAATATTCAGCCTCTTCCAGCTCAGTTTTTAGTCTCTACCGACGCCTGAGTTAGCATCGGTCTCTTCAGCTGCTAAATGCTGCACTGTGTTGTCCAGCTGCTCTCTGACTGCGTCTGTCTTTAGAGCGTCTTCACTGGAAACAGCTGGGACCAAAAAAAAAAAAGACACGATGGAAGCTGTGAGACGAGAGTGAACCAAAATAGTAGAGATGTGGGCTGAGAGCAAAACAATGAGCTGAAGCAAAGAGAAACACGAGGGGAGCGGCAGATACAGAGGAAAGAACTCGTTCATCACTGCCAACGACACCTTTCATTCTACCAAAATAAAATACACTGACTATTCTTTAAGTCTTTTGCAATGTCACTGCACCAACAGGATGAACACCAGGTTCTCCAACTTTACTCTGACTGTTTATAAAAAGCTCTGCACACAACGTCCAGCACACAGATAAAGACTGGGACAGTCCAGTGTTTGAGGAGGAATCAAGAATTGAGCATCATTGAAAAACTCCTCAACTCTACCGGGATCCTCCTGAAACCGACCAACACTGAACGAGTTCTGTCCTGACTGACACCACATTGTTCGGGATAAACCGTCCGGTAGCTTCTGTATAATCTTGGTTACACACAAACAAACACACACCAATAACAACACCAATGATCCTCTACAAGGTCCTGAAGGCAACCACGGGCTGGAGAGCATGAAAAGCTGCACTGGGTTAAAGCAGAAAAGCTTTCAGAGCGTTGACCATGTGAAGAATCAGTTGAAAGCCGTCGGAGAGAGGGAGAGAGAGAGAGAGAGAGAGAGAGAGAGAGAGATTCAGTTTAGACTCAGCATCTGATAAATTTTTCACTGCTCCTGGCAGAGTCACACTGGAAATCTCACATGAGAGGGAGTTCTGTTGAACTGAGGATCAGCTCGACTGTCACTCACTCAGACGCACCAGGCTCAAAATTAATGCTTTTTACAAGTGGAGTCATGCATTATACAAAACAAAGACCCCCCCCCCACATTGTGAATGTGCACACACACCAAGTAAAATATTATTTCATCACAAATCTAGTTACAATAAAAAGTCAGACCACTTTATTTCCGTTTCTTAATTGTGGATTAAACAGCCTGCAGACCAGCGAGCGTCTAAATCAAACTACTGAAGTCGTGGCTCCACAATATTAAGTCCTTTGGCTTCATTACCTGCAGCACGACGTCTTCACCGCTGTTGGTTTGTTTGTTTATCTGCAGGATTACTCAAAAACTACAGCACCACCTTCCTTCTTTATCTCATGACTGCAGCTCCACAGGTATTAAAAAATAATGTGAGAGGAAGAGACAGAGAGACCGAGGAGAAGATTTAACAAGCGTCTGTCAGGATGATCTCCTCTCAAACATCTAAATTACTTACTACAACAACAAAAAAATAAAAAGCTTACCTGCCAAAGATTGTGTGCTTTCTGTCGAGGTAGATGCACGAGCGGAATGTGATGAAGCTGAGAGAAAGGAAAACAGAACAAAAAGCAACGTTAGTACAAATCGTTAGAAATAAGATTTAAAAAAAGAAAAGAGTAGCAGACCTGTAGCTGCGTACGCATTTTGTTATATTCTGTTAAAAGGGTACGACTTAACGTAAACCCCCCCCCCTTTTTAATCGTTCACTGTTAATAAAAATGAATTGAATGTGGTGAAACGATGATGTTAAATAATAGATGAGGACGATAAATCCCACAACAC